CGGCCAAAATCGCTTAGGCGGTTACAGCGCCAAATAAGAAGAAGAAATAAATTTGTAGATACGCCATTCAGCGAGGAACATTGTTCTGCCAGTAATTTCATTACACCTTCCAGCTGAGTTGCAAAAGTATCTAAACTATAAAGCATACCATATATTTATGGAAGTAAATCAAATAATTTATATTTATGAATATTATTTTACCTTTAAATGCAGTAAGTTCGTCCTATAGCTCCTTATTAATTTTTTGGAACTCTGCTTTTTCGCTCTTCTGTTCCGATAAATAAACTAAAAAAAAATTTATGTGGTTTAATTTAGTATATGTTAGAATTTGTAGAATTTGAATATGTTACCTATTATTTCCTCAAAACGTTTCTTGGATGGTGGTTCAGGCTGATTAAATAGATTTTCAGTTTCGCTTCTTAATGCTTAATCTTTTGGCCATGTCTCTTGATCTAGTTGAACATTTATATATGTGTATAAGTTATTATTAATATCCATGTGCGAAGGCTAGGGACACGAGTTTCGATACGATACGATACCATATCGATACTTTTGGCATTCGATACCGATATTTTTTACTCAATAGTTTTAAAACGATATTATTTGGAATCGAGTACCAGAATCCTAGTATCGTATCGAATGTCATAAACTCAAACTAGTCAGCTTTCAGACACGTCAAGTCTGNATTTTTTGGAATCGAGTACCAGAATCCTAGTATCGTATCGAATGTCATAAACTCAAATTAGTCAGCTTTCAGTCACGTCAGGTCTGGCTTTCAAGTCTGCTCGTTCCAAGGCGAAGGAGGTGAGAAGAAAGGGGAAGAGTGCAGATACTTCCCATTTAAAGAACCACGAACTTGAATTCAATAAAAGTTGACGCGTCTGGGAGCAAATAGAAAACACAAAAGAGAATGCGAAAAAATTGCTTTCAAGACTTATCTGATTATCAGCTCTTCCCGATATAAATTGGGCTTTAAAGAAGAGAAATGTGGGTGTAAAAATAATACATTAACGCTTACAAAATATGGCTGACTTCCAAAA